TCAGCTTGTCGTCCTGATCAAGAATATATATACTTTGTGGGGTCTGCCACGCCTCCTTCTGCCTGTTACATACTTTTAACAAAACCATTATACCCTGATTTCCCATTTTCAATGGGTTCAGGGTATAAAAATAATAACCTAGCCCTAAAGACATAAACGTTACAGCGTATCGAACTTGGATAGCGCATATACAATATATATATTATACATGCATACATACATAGTATATCCAATTTGGAATAATGCAGAAAATTGAGACCAATGATTTCTAAGAACTATATGATGAAACAATTAATTTCCATGGCAATTCAAAAGTCACGTTAAATTTGTAACCCAAAGCAATGCAAATAGATTCAAATATCTACAGGTATTACATTCTATATGATATACAGACATACATACATACAACAGAATATGACACACAATAGGCTAGAATATGACATAATAAAATATAGGTTAGTCATAGATATAGTAAAACTCTATCTAGCATAATGTCAGTTAAATCTAGAATGAGGTATTCCATGAAGGTGTTCCCTAAAATAGTACGCCCCTTTTAAATGCAGATAATTGATGTTTTAATATACCCGATAAGTAAGGTGTTTCAACAATTTATGACCCGCACCAAACATTAGTCATGGGCACACGCTGGAGCCCAATCAAGGCATTACTTTAAAAGCGCGCTAAATTGTCACCTTATCATAGATCAGAGAAGTTGAAATACATCCAATTTATAATCAAACTAAGCTAGTACGTGGAGGGAGAAACTTTCGCACACTTAAGATGGAATTAGATACTATTCGAAAATATATTTACATTCGACGCTCAAATCGTGTATTTCATTTAACAGTTATTTTATCTACATATTTACCCAAACAGCTGTTTACTTGGTTGTGTTTCTGTAAGATATTTTATTACATCATCGATCGTATCACATCACGTTAGTAAGCTAGAGGAATTTCGCGTTTGAGACGTTTGGAATTCAAGATCGTATCGTAAATTTGTAGATTTACGTATGTGTGTATGTATGTATGTATATATGGGCAGTATTTATTATATCGCATGAATCTGTCAATATTTGAAATACAGTACACCCTGAATGCTCGCCTTCCGTTATTCCCTTAGTCCCGGCTCCAATTAAGCTACGAGGTTGAGCTGATTTTTCTATGCCGTTCAACGTAATAGAGTGACGCTGATAACGGAAATGGGTAAGGGCTGCCGCCTCCAAAACAAAAATGATAACAAATACTCATTCGCGTATATGCACAAATTTATACAGACATACATACATACAATGTATATACAATGAATGTTTATATGTACATACATATGTACATATATGGATAGATACGCACCAGGGCTGCAGGAATGTTGGTGCGGTTCACAGTTTAAGCTAACTCAATTAGGAGTTAGTTCGTGAACCGAGCTTAGCTTCAAATTCGAAATTCGATGATTTTCAAATTTGAATTCGATTCGCTTTGATTTATGGTTCAAATTTCAATTCCCAATTGCTTTGGTATAAATCGGCTTGTAGTCATGTTACATACATACGTACGTACATACATATGTATGTACATACATTTTATATATGTACATACATACATACATATGTATAGATATTGGTAGCTGGTGTAGACGCAAAATGGTTGTATTATCAAATTACTGCTAGCTGATAATCCGCATAAAAGCCGTCGAGTGGGTGGCGACGGGCTGGCGGCAGGCATTTGTTGGCCATGTGCAACAGATTCTAACGGCAAAAAGTTTCGCCCCCAAACAATTGGTTTGTTTGACAGCGGCAACGCTTCAACCGCTTATGCATGTATGTATGTATGTGTGTGTATCTCCCACTCATACGCACACACACATTCCAGCTCCCGGTTTTTTTCCCGTTTCACGTTTCGCATACCTCCTCCTTGCCCTTTGCCCACGCGCACTTCCAATGCCATTCCGTTGCGAGTTCCCATGGCAAATATTAACGGTTTTCGTTTATGCTGCGATTTTTGTTGCTGTTGTTTCTGTTGATGCTGCTGTGCACTCATTTAGCTTTAATTAATATACACACAAATACAAAAGCATTCGCAACAAAATGCAATGCATGAGACGAGCTAAAAATATATCATGCTGACGTCACATTTTGCGTATGAACAAACACGAAGGCATTAAGAACGAGAAAGCGGCCGCCGCCGCACTTGCCTTGCGCCGCTGCCAAAGTCAAAGCCCAAAAGCAAAAGACAACGGCGACGGCGACGACGACGACGACGACTGATTGGAATTGATTAAAATGCAGCAAGCAAATATTGCCATTCCCGTTGGCTGTCTTTGCTGTGACTTGTGCTGTTAATGTCAAATGGAAACAGCAGCAACACAACAGCTACAGCAACAACAAGAGCAAGAAAGCAGATATGCATATGCGAATGTACATACGTACGTATATGTATATACATATGTACATACACACATGCATAAATGTATGTATGGATAACAAGAAATGAAATGCCATTATTTAATGTTTCGATTTTGGACTCGCATAACCAATAATTCACGATGATGTCAATGACGTTGATGACGTTGCCAGATTTTTTTTATGCTTTTTCAGCTTTGCGACTTTTGCGCCATTGTTCGCTTTCGTCATTCTGCCTACCCACCTTCCACGAGGCCTGTGTCACCCTCTCTCTCTCTCTCTCTCTCTCTCTTTCGCTCTTGTTGCGGTGTCAATTACCTCTTTGAATGGTCGCCACAAGTATTTTTAAGTTGTGCTTACGCAGTGATGACAAGCACAACACAACTCAGCTCAACTCAAAAAAAGAAGTATAATGATAAAACGGACCCGCGCGCACATGATTGATATGATTGTAACGCGGGTGGGTGGCTGGCTGGCGGCAGCAACAGGCGCAGCTTCACTTGCCTAGGCTGACAGCTTAAAGCGTCTAGTGATGATCGCGTGACTATCGCGCTCGACAATGAAAAGACGATGGCAAAACCCGAAAATTTGTGGGAAGGAATTAGATTGCGAGTGCACGGATTTGCTTCCTCCTGAGTTTAATTCTGAATGTACATATGTATGTATGCATGTATATTTTCTAGCAAATCAGTACTTTGCAAAAATATTAATTCTCTATATCTCAGTACTTGTTTGTAACTTTGCGTGCCTCTCACGCGCACACCTCAAAGACTTTGAACTGAATCAGCGCCTCTTTTCTCTGTCCTGCTCTGTCTTTGCCTGTCTCTCGGTCTGTCTTTCACGCGCATCAACATCAATTCAATTCCAGCTAGCATTTTAAGTGCAGTGTCACTGTGCTTTATGTTTTATATATGTATGTATGTATGTATATATTTTATGTGCTGTCTGTTCGCAGTTTGCTCAGTGCAACAAATACATAACATTGAAGAGGAACAAAACATTTTAATCAGCTGCGATAAATAAAAAGCACGAGTTTGTCTAGTCGTGAGCTACCTGTAGCTAGCTAGCGTCTAGTTGTCCCCTCACAAAAAGCAAAAGTGAATTGCCTGCCTTCAACACATACACACAGACTTATGCACATTTGTATAGACATACACGCATACACACCCACGTCTGTTTTAAAGAGGAGAGAGGAAGTTATTCACATGCAAAACTTACTTTCCTTGCACTAAAGCAATCGCTTTTTTGTAGTTTATAGAGATGACAAAACGTATTACGGTATTAAAATGATTCTTTAATTTTTGATTTTTGGTTCTCATTTAAAATTGTAATTCATAGCCTTAAATCTATTTTGTACATTGTTTGACATTTTATCCATTTAAATCCCAAAATCACGTCATACCACATCGTTGCAGTCATTAGCATCTATACAATTGCTTGCATTAAATTGATATTTAATTGATTTGATTCAACAAGATGCCAGTCCAAGGTTTCAATATTGTTACTCATTGACTGAAAAGTCTTTCATTAAATCTTCATAGTTATAATTATGTATAATGTACATATGTACCATACAAATGCATGTAGACATACTTAAACATACATAGATACGTATGTATGTATGTATGTATGCACTCAGTACTTAATATTTTCTGACCAAACGGCGCCAACTTCGTTTTTGTTGTTGCCCAAAACAACAACCGCAACGGTAAATGGCATACACTGAGTCAGTTAGTCGGCCAGTCTCCTCACCCTCACTCACTCTTGCTCAGAGCTTCGTTCTATCCCTCTTCGTCACTCTCTTCGTCACTGACTTAATGCAAGTATGACTCGCACAGACAGCGCGGCGTTTTGTGGGGCTGGGTCAATGAAGCGGGTGTCAGATATAAGAGTCACAATGGAATGCGTTTGAAAGTAAAATGAGCAACGGTACACTTAGACGACATCTGTAAATGTATTATTATTTTAAATTGTAATTCTAAAATGCAATTGTTTTAAACGTTTTCATTTTTATAGCTTTTTTGTATATACTTAAATATGTGTTGGCAAGTCAAACGGCATTTAAGCACTTTAAAACAGTCAGTTGTTTTGCAAATGTTGAAAATCACTTTTGAGCACTTAACTTAAGTACTTAAATTAATTGCCAATTTACAAGCAGCTGTTTACGGCCAGCTAAGCACGTATGAAATTGATGAATAATCGTTATTTGAAATTAATTAATCGAGCGCCAGAATTGTATGGAGTTGCAGCCCTGGTGCCAGCAGTGTCGCACGACCTAACAGCTGTTTGCTGTGCTGCCAGCTGTATACAGATATGTCGCGCGCTTTTTTTATATAGTCATTGGTGTGCTAAATTATTAATTGTCGAATGTAAACAAGACGTAAATAATATACAATTATTACTAAACTAACAATTTGTTTGGTTTGCTTTGTTGCGTAAAAACCATTTCTAAAAATATTGTTGCTTATTTTATGTGCCAACTATCTGGCAACACTCATCTGTAAAACGGGTTGCTGTCGCTGCGTGCGCATGCATATGTGTGCTTGCGAGTGCGTATTCTATGTATATGTTTGTGTGTGTGGATAGCTTGGTTGTATGTGTACGTGTGTGTCTTGTGCAGATGGGTTTGTGTGTGTGTTTGCGCCAGTACCGAGGCAGTGAAGCAGCGCGAGCGAGCGAGTGAGCAATACAAAATAATATTTTGCGCAAAAAGGGCTAAGAACCTGATGAATAAATTGTAGTTAATGTTGAATGTGAGCTAAAACGCGCGTGCTAAACTAGCGATAAACAATTTGTGTCCTTGCATCCTGCCACTGGCCCCCAGGCAGCTGACAAACAAATCACACAGCACTGCTCTGAAAAAAAAAGAACGTAAGCAACGATAACAGCAGAAAAATTTTTGGTGTGCAGAGCGCGCGTGCTGCCAACTGTGTGAAAAGTGTTTTGCCTGCCGTCGCCGTCGCTGTCACCGTCCGACCCAATCAAATCCAATAACAAATCATTTCGCCTGTGCGAAGAATTTAGGAGCAACAAAATCCCGCTGCCACTAGCTATGCATCAGCAGCAATCCGCTACGTAGTATCAGCGCAAGGCAAGCGGAGCTACATAGCTGTCTGTTCTACTCTAGAGTGTGTGGCGTGCGTACAGTTGAATTTTTCAACAAGTTGCCAGCACAGCGCGCAACGCGACACAGGCACAATCACACACAGGCACTGTTACAGTTACATATATCCATATGCAGGCACACATACAATTATAAATACATATATATATATACATATATAAGTATATTTATATACATAGACCCACACAAACACCAGCGCGCGCAGCGAGAAGTGAAACAGAAACAGAAACAGCAACAGCAAAAATAACAACAACAGCAACAAGAGGAGCAGCAACGTTTTAGTGATGTCATCAGAAAGTAAGTTTGCGTTTTTTGTTTTTGTTTTCTTCATTTTTTTTTTTGTTTTGTTTGCCTATAACACAACGTCGTCATGACGTCATTTCATAAAAATACACACAACAGTTGAGACAGTATGGCCGTTGCTGTTAGTGTTGTTGTTGTTGTTGTTGTTTTGTCGTTGTCATCGTCGTCGTCATTTTTGTAGCAAGCAAACAAAACAAACCAAACAACAGTTGTAAAGGCAGCAGCCGCAGCAGCAGCAGCAACAGCAGTGACAGTGACAGTCAACGTGTGTTGGTGTGTGTACGTGTGTGTGTGTGTGAGTTCGTTTGTTTTTGTTGTTGTTGTTGTTGAAACGAACAATTAACAATTAGCAATTACCAATCAAGCAATATTGTAACCAAAAACCAATGAAACCAATTTTGTGCACATCTCTCTCTCTCTCTCTCTCTCCCTCTCTTTTTCTCTCCCTCTCAATATCTCTCTTTCTATTTCTGTTTTTCTTACGCTGCTCCTGTCTCTCTACTGTGTGTGTGTGTGCGTGTGTGTGCGCGCGCGGCCCATCGTTTTCATTGCTTTGGCAACCGACCGACCGGCCGCTCGTCCACCCGCCCGACCGTCCGCACGCCCGCCTTCATTTGATCCTGGACTGTGTGCAGTCGTCGCCCAGCATCCATCAACTTCAAACTGGCAAAATTGAAACGGAAAAGACGCCAAACTGAAGCACTTGTCGGAGAGCGTAACGGTGCTGCTGAAAATCGCTAAAATGGACAGCATCGTCGAGGAGAACGGCAACTCGGCCTCCAGCGGTAATGTGAACGACGTCAACGATGTCACATCAGCAGCGGCCGTCGCCGCCGCTGCCGCCGCAGCAGCAGTGGCAGCAACAGGCGGCCAACAGCAGCAACAGCAGCAGCAGCAGCAGCAGCAGACACAACAGAACCAGCAAAGTACAACGAGCGGCGTTCCAGCGACGGCCAACACAAACAACGCCAGCGGCGCGGCATCCGTGCTGACAACGACCGCCAACTGCAATATCCCGTACCCGATGCAGGCGCTCGTGCAGCACGGCCTGCAGGTGAGTCCCACGCCAGTCCTGCTACGCACCAGCCCCCTCCTCGCGCAAGCCATCAAGCGAAATGCACAACAGTGCGAACAGGAGTCGGAATATATGTGTATAGAGCCCATGGGGTATATGGGATCTACAGCAAAAAGGAATCTGAATACATGTAGAGCATACAGTGTGTGTATATAGGCTATAGAAATGGGATGTGTACAGCAAAAAGGAATCGGGATATATAGCATATAGTGTGAGACCGTTATAATAGAGCAAAGGAATGGGAATACGTATATATAGAGTATAGAATATATATCTATACATCAGGCAGATATATAAATATACATATATCAACAGCTGTTTCTTATATATATATGTATGTATATAAATTTATAGAAACAGGAGTTTTAATAGATCTATATCTATCTATCTAGTAAATTCATACTATAATTTATATAAGATTATATTATTGATACTTCGTATTAGTATATATTAGCCTTATATACTTCATAATTACTTATTTTATAGCCATATATTGCTTCATATTTGACTAGGGAAACTTGAGGACTTATATTGATTCATAATTCATATTCAATTCAGTTCCCATTAAGGATTGAAGACTTCCAGGGCTTCACATAAGACTCTGCAATAGAATCAGTTGTTGCAGAATTGTAATTGTTCTTAAGAACTAGTTCCCATCGAAGCAGTTGAATCAACAAATGTATTACTAATTTTAATGGGACAGAAGTTACGCACAAGGCGCTTGAAAAGCTTTTAGAATTATTGCTAATCCAATGTAGAATCATAGCATCTAAAAGTGTATTACTAATTTCTTAGCATTAGTAAAGCGCATGCGACGCTTGAAACGCATAAAAGTCTACAGAATTTTAGCTATTCTACTATAGATACAATCAGAGACACAATCAGACTTGGTAACACTGGGTAAAAACGCCAGAGACCCTTGAAAGGCATGAGAAGTACGGCAAATAGCATAGAGAATATTAAGTATCAGCAGGTTATTCAATTAGTATCAGCTAGGTAAGCGTTTATAGAGCCTATAACATTCTAGTAGCTCATATGAAACGCTTGAGACCCATTAGTGGGGCGGGGCTCTTCCAGCCGATAGCCGCCTCGGGCTTCGCCTAGTCACACCATTTCGTTTATATTTGGGCTTTACGCTAGGCTCCCGTCAAAATTATTCATTAACTGAAGACAATTAGATAGGACGCCTGTAAGCTCGAGATGGGTGTACGTTTCTAAAGTTCCATGAGTCACAAACTCGTATTTAAATGTTTTCATTGGCTTTGTTGCGCATTCGTAAAGGTTTTTTTTTGTTTGCCTCGCTCTCTATCTGTCTCTCTCGCTCTCTCGCTGGGTGTTGAAAATTTGATATGGGAATCTATTTGAACTTGGCTCGAACCTGGCCAGCTGACAATATCGATACTAATCATTTATTTAAACACACACACGAGAGCAATTAAGAAATGGGGATTTAAGCCCAGCCGAAAGCCTGCTTGCCTATGGAATGCGCAATGTGGCCTCTCATGCTCTGCTCCGTCATTAACCTAACTCAGTTTCATCTCAATCAATGATGGCTAATTGTGTTTTCGATTCGTGCAGGTGCAATCCGTGATACAGGCGGCCAATCATTCGGGTGTCATACAGACCGCTGCTGGCACACAACAGCAACAGCAGCAGCAGCAGCAGCAGCAGCAACAGCAGCAACAACAGCAGCAACAACAGCAGCAGCAGCAACAACAGGCGCTGGTCGCCGCATCGGCGATACACAAAGGCGGCACCAGCGTCGTCTATATGACAAAGCCGGCCAATACGACGGTCATACATCAGACCACGAGCAACGCGGTGCAAGTGCGTAACAAAGTGCGTAGCAGTTGCTAAAGTAAAGCAGACATTAAAACACACACACACACACACACACACACACAGACACCCACTACCTCACACACACACACCGAGTCAGTTGAATGCATTAATTAGCTCTACATCATTGCTTTCAGATCCCTCCAAATTTTCAATGTAAGATCAAACCCGAACCGACTACACAGCATCCGGAGGACAGCGACGATAGTTTATCGGACGATGATTCGCAGCATCATCGCAGCAATCTGACACGAAGGCCATCGTACAATAAGATCTTCACCGAAATCAGTGGACCCGACATGAGCGGTAATTCCCTTCACTACTTTGCCATTTGTTTACCCAGCGAACAGCTGTGCGCACACAGACTGTGTCTCTCACTCTCTACCTCTCCCTCGCCTGCGCTCTTTCTCTATCCCTATACCCTCCAATTGTCCTGCTCTGTTCGCTCTCTAGCTGCTAAATCATTGTCCAGTGCTTGGCCTAACTTGAATCTCTTGATCTATTCGATGTATTTTGCCAATGGCACTCAGAACTCGCACAGCAGCACAGGCAACAACTCATCAGCATTCACAGTAGAACACTCGATTATATCATTGGGAAAGGAAAGGAGAAAAGGAAATCAAAATTTGTATATAATTTCTATGTTAATTCTCATTCAACTAATGTAATTTGTAAATTAGTTGTAATGAAAGCAGAATGAATGATTATAAAAGAATTTTTAGATCTATAAGAAAAGAGATTAGTTTAATAGAGAATGATGTTAGTTAACAGTGCAACATAACTCTAACATTACTT